GGTTGGGCAATCTACTTCCGTAGTGATACTGCCTCAGAAACCCAAGGAGGGGTCGCTATGAGTCGGGGCCGACTCGACGGCACATAACAACAGTCCTTTCTTACACACACACATGCACACACGTGCACATGTGCATTTTAAATACCTGTTACACACTTAGAGCTTTTCTTTTTTTTAGTGTTGCCATAAGCGAGGTCCTGAGGTAGGGCAGGCTCTGGGCACAGGGCTCCAGCTCCACTTCTTCAGGACTCCGGTGAGTCTGGCATCCTGTACGGCTTCAGCTTCGTTATCAGGCTCTTAGCACAATGGCTGCAATAGTTTCAAGCATCACATCCACACATACCGGTTTCTTTAGAGTGAGCCTTTCTGTCATCAACTTCATGGCACAAAGGAAACCTTCTCAGAAGCACCTAGCACATTTCACTTTTTTTTATTTAATAAATAGCCCCTGCTCTGGCGGTTCAAACCCACCAGTCACTCCTCGGAAGAAAGGTTGGGCAACCTACTTCTATAGCGATATCACCTGGGAAATCCAAGGAGGGGGTCGCTAGGAGTCAGGTCTGCCTCCTCGGCACAGAACAACAAGATTGGACATTCAGTTTACTACCACTTTAGCTATCATGATCAACACTAAAATGGAAGAACGCTGAGGAAGGGAGGTGGAGCTTAGGCCAGCAAGATGGTGCCTGGCTGCTGGCGATGCCTGCTCCCAAATGGCCTTTCTAGAGTGGCCTCATGACGTTGGGAAGCCTCCGAATAGCAAACCTAATTGGCTGAAAGTTACCCTCTGGCGCCACAATCTTCCTGATGTTTTAGAGTATAAAAGAATAGGTTGAAATAAACTATTGAAATACACACTAATACACAAACCAACCCACTGCCATCAGTCCACTGATTCTTAACGACCTTTCAGGACAGAGTTGAACTGCTGCAAAGGGTTCCCAAGGTTGTAAACCTTCACGTAGAGCTATGGTGGCGCAGTGCCTAAGGCATTTGACTGCTAACCAAGTTGGCACTGTTCAAACCCACCAGCTGCCCTGCCGAAGATAAGGAAATCTACCTTCTTAAAGATTTACCTCTTTGGAAACCCAGTGGGGGTCAATGAGTCGGAATTGACGGTGGCAGATTGCCTCATCTTTTTCCACAGCGGCGGGTTCAAGCCACCAGTTTTGGTTAGCAGCTAAGTGCTCTAACCATTATAGCACCAGGATTCCCTACATACTAATGTAGTATGCTACGCATAGGAAGCTCTGCGGGCAAAGTAGTTAAGCGCTCGGCTGCCAGGGTAATGAGCACTCAAGGGCAATCTATTAAGTTTGATCTTGCCGCCCCACCTCATCAACAGGGATGGGGTGGTGGAGGTGGGGGTGTGTCTGCGCGTGAGATTTGTATGTCTGGCGTCCCCTTGGGCTTGTGCACCACCCCATCCCCAGCCTTTATAGGAACCCACCAGCTGCACCTTGGGAGAAATATTTGGCAGTCTGCTTCAGCAAAGATTGAAGCCTTGGAAACCCTACAAGGCATTTCTATTCTGTCCTAAAGGGTCGCTGTGAGTCGCAGTCCACTAGAGGGCTCCATATAGGGATTACAGCAGTTCTCTGGACTCAACAATCTTTTTATTACAAATGAGAGAAGTTATATATGTGAACATACATATCAGCATTTGTGTGTTGCATCCTTAAATGAAAAAATTAAAAATGCTTCTGTATTCTTAAAAAAAAAGAAAAGAAAAGAAAAGAAAAAAGAAAAAGAACCCTGTATAAACATCATGGGCACTTGTCCAATTTTTTAACTATTGAAAATGAATCCTATTTTATTGCTTTGTTTTTCCCTTAACTATGACATTTCAGAGCTTTGCACATGCAAATGTCATGCAGTGAGGTAGCTATCTGAACACCACTGGTAAATTTTAGCTTTAAACTATTTCCTCATATTTTGGAAAGTAAAGGGTTTTTTAATAATCAAGAAAATATTTTGCGTGATAATTCAGGAATATATGACATGATAGGTCAGGATATACATAACACTGTTGCAAAAAGACAGCAAGGCAGGTGTTTTAACTCAAATGTCTACCTGGTCTCCAATACCACCCCCAAACTCCTCTCCCCAATTTCCTTCCAATTGCACTAAAGTCATTGCTGGTATACGTTTTGATTTTTAAGCAAAGCAATACAGGCATATAGTTTTAAAACCTCAGATAGTATAAAAGAGCATATAATGAAAAGCAATAAATTCCTGCCCATCTTTCTTAACTCTTGGTTCCCCAAGCCACAGGCAAAAACTTTTACCCATGTCTATTTAGTGGTTACCTCTGTTTTTCTTAAAAAATACGCTTTTATTACTATTTCTTGACTTGATATCGTGAGGCACTCCTGCCAACTTCCTGCTATCTCCTCTGCTGCCTTCCCCCATCAATATGGTTGTATTACTATTTTTTACCTCTTCTGTTGGCTACCTTGTTCATTTTCAATAATAGTCTAAGACTTAAACTTCTCAACTGTAGACAGTATCTTGACTTTCTATTTAGAACAGAAGAATAACACTGCTGTTCCATCTACACTTCCCCCCTCTGCCTTCCAACCTAGTCACTCTCCCTGGACATTGTCAAGGTTGCTAATATTCCCATTCTATGTTGTAACTATAACAAAGTCTTCCGTACTTTGTCTAGAGATTGACACTAAAGCCAAAAAACATAACCAAATTTTACTTTATTATGATTATTGAAATACTGTCCATTTAATAAAAGGAGTTTTGGTGGCACTGTGGTTAAGGCATTAAGTTGCTAATCAAAAGGTAGGCAGTTCAAACCCACAAGCCAGTCCAAAGAAGGAGGATGAGGCAATCTACTTCCATAAAGATTTACAGTCTTGGAAACCTGATGGGAGTCACTGTGAGTCAGAATCCACTTGATGGCAGTGGGTTTGGGTTTTTGGTCCACTTAATTACTGCCAAATAGCAAAGTTGAACTCTATGACCGGATTGTTTTCATCTATGACTCCAGTCTTGATCCCTGTGCCAATGTTCAAGCAGATTTCCTTTCTCAGGCTCCCAGCAACTGTTCAAAACCATGCCACATCTGAGGTTGCTTCGGATCTGAAGGATGCTTTTTTTTTGTGTAGTTTGAAATGATTGTTTTTCCCTGTAGTTTCTGTTTGTCATTGTTGTCTTTGGGACTGGAGAAATGGATGCCTTCCACATGGTGTTATGCTTCCTCCAGCTTCTTACTCAGTCCATCTATTGCTTAAAGTCCATTCCACTCCATTTGCAACATATTCACTTTCTGTTCTAATTTGGAGGATGCACTTGTCATTTGGACCATTCTTTTCCTTAAGATTTTATTTGCCTTTCCTTTTATTTTTTAAAATGCATCCTGTGCCCTTTTCCTCAAGTTCATGCGACTTTTGTTTTATGGATGTAAAAACATTTCTGAGGATCTGCAGAATTTTAAGTTCTTTTCTGTTCTGCGAATTATCTATTTCTTTAGGAGTCAAGTTATCTTAGGCTTTTTCAGTCACATTGCAGGCTTTCGGCAAAGGATGCTTTTTAGCCGCCCATTTAAAGACGAGGCGATGGAGAAGCTGCCTGGTGTGCGCGAGCCGGGGTGGTCGCTTTGCTTTAGGGTGGGTGAGCTGGGGGATGGAAATCGGCCATCCTGCCGGGCATCTCCAAATCCCACAAAGTTACCAGTGGCTCTAAATATGTACCTGCAGGCGCACGTTGAGTATCACCGAGGCCGCGACGTAGAAGTAGGGGAAGTTCATGCGCAGCTTCCAGGCCAGGTCGAAGAAGG